TGCAAAAAAAGTGAAAAAAAAGTTGTTTTTTTTTATTTTTTTTAAATATCTCCGAATTGGCTGAACCAATCGGTCTCAAAATCTAATCAGGTCTTAACCTTGAAAACCCCCATCGATCGCCATCAAAAACGTTAGAATCGGTTGATGCGTTCGTGAGATATCGTTGTCGAAAAAAATCGAAAAAAGTGTTTTTTTGTAATAACTTCGAAATTCATGGCTCGATCGATTTAAACTTGAAAATTTTTCGTGGAGCTTCAGAAACTGCGTCGATTGCCGCCAACCGCGTGAAAATCGGTTCATTCATTCAAAAGTTATAGCAGTTTGAAAATTAAAAAAATCGTGTTTTATTAAATTTTGATAAGACTTTTGAGCTCGAAGAGCTCAGAAGCTTAAAACAGCTACTTTTTTTATAGAGCTCAAAAAACTACATCGATTGCCGCCATCCGCGTGAAAATCGGTTCATTCATTCGAAAGTTATAGCAGTTTGAAAATTAAAAAAATCGTGTTTTATTAAATTTTGATAAGACTTTTGAGCTCGAAGAGTTCAGAAGCTTAAAACAGCTACTTTTTTATAGAGCTCAAAAAACTACATCGATTGCCGCCATCCGCGTGAAAATCGGTTCATTCATTCGAAAGTTATAGCAGTTTGAAAATTAAAAAAATCGTGTTTTATTAAATTTTGATAAGACTTTTGAGCTCGAAGAGTTCAGAAGCTTAAAACAGCTACTTTTTTATAGAGCTCAAAAAACTACATCGATTGCCGCCATCCGCGTGAAAATCGGTTCATTCATTCAAAAGTTATAGCAGTTTGAAAATTAAAAAAATTGTGTTTTATCAAAGTTTGATGACTTTTGAAATCGAAGAGGTCAAAAGCTGAAAACAGCTACTTTTTTTATAGAGCTCAAAAAACTACATCGATTGCCGCCAACCACCTGAAAATCGGTTCATTCATTCAAAAGTTATTGCCGTTTGAAAATTCAAAAAATTGTGTCTTTAAACTGCTATTAGAGTTTTGAGCTCGAAGAGCTCAAATTGACACAAAAACAATATTTTTGAGCTCGAAGAGCTCAAAAACGTAATGTGTAGTTTGAAGCGTTTAAGTACAAAATGAGCGGGAAGTTGCAGGGATGGCCTTTAGGGTGAACCGTTTTTCTAATTTTTTGTAAATATCTTCGAATTAGCTGAACCGATCAACTTCAAAAACTAATCAGCTCTTAACCTTGAAATCCCGCATCGATCGCCACATAGAGCGTCAGAATCGGTTGATGCGTTCGTGAGATATCATTGTCGAAAAAAATCGAAAAAAGTGTTTTTTTGTAATAACTCCGAAATTTTGCATCAGATCAATTTTTTTGTTGAGAATCGTTTATAGAGCTTAACAAACCATGTAAAAAGTTACAGCAGTTTGAAAATTAGAAAAATCGTGATTCATCGAATTTTGATAAGACTTTTGAGCTCGAAGAGCTCAAAAGCATAGCAAAGCTATCTCTTTGAGATCGGAGAGCTCAAAATAACACATAAATTGTATTTTTGAGCTCGAAGAACTCGAAAACGTCATAAGTGCAATTTTAAGCGCCTAGGTATGGAATTAGCGGGAAGTTGCAGGGATGGCCTTCAGGGTCAACCGTTTTTCTAATTTTTTTTCTTGGAATGGTAGTTTATTATGTCTACTATCATATTCAGTCCATAAATTAGTCAATAAACAACGTGAATTCCTAAAAATTATCAATTTATGCAAACGCGTCAAATGGTTTAATTGACCCCCGCTTGGGGGCAATTGACTCACTGCTCGGGATCAATTGAACCAATAATATTTATAAGTCAAACCCGAACTTTTAATAAATAATATATTAATTGTTACTTGTTAATATTACTATTAAACATTTTTAATGCACAGATATTATATTATTATATAAAATAACAATGAATTAAAAAAAAAATATTTATTATAAATTCAGTTCATCAAGTTTAGGTTATTTCCCTGAGTATTTTTTATGGTGGTTTTCCGTGGTTCAATCGTCCCCGGGACTGCTGGTTCAACTGACCCCATATAATTTTATGACAATTAATAGTAAATAATTAATAAATAAACTATCATATCACTGTAAACGAATTCGAGGATTATAAAATATAAGTAGATACAACTACTGCAATCCAAACTTTATCAATTAATTCAAAAATTAAAACATTATTAAACAATTTGTCACCAGCCGAAAAAAAAGTTTACATACCTAAAAATACAAAAATCTCAATTTTTCAAAATTTACTAATCGCAATAATTTCAAATTTTGATCACATCAGAGTTTAACATATTAACCCTCTCACGGTCAATTCGGACTGAGTCGTACTTTTTCTCCCGGAGTGGGGATAGCCAGTCGCGTGAGCGGACTAACTCCCGCCACCAGATTTTCATGCCTGCCAAATGCTCACTCAGGGCCGTATTTATTATTTTTATGGCTTCACCATGTAAGCGATCATTGAGGTTATTGTCTATACGTCCCTGCGCTCCGCTCACTGGATTGCGTGCAGTCCCCTTGCCCCGCGAGTGGGAAAAGAGTGGGAGAAACGCCCAGAACCGTGAAAGGGTTAAAATGTAATTCTAAGAGGATGAAGCATTTTTTCAATCTATTAAATCGAGCTGTTCAATTGCCCCATGGTTCAATTGACCCCTTTCTCCCCTACTTAGTATCAACTTTTTAATTGACGGTGAAAAACTAAAACCTCATTATTTTGTTGCAGTTGAAGATTTTCTCTTTGGAATTGTTACATCGGGATTTCCAATTTACTGCTTACAATATTATTCCAGTTGATTGTACAATCTTAAGAACCGTTAGTAATTTCTTTTAATCTTTGATTTTGCAACATAAGTTTCTATCTTGATTTGATTTCACGCAGATATTTGGTGCTGTAGCCACTTATTTGATTATTTTCATTCAATTCCAAGCTGATGATGGGAAGAAATGATATCCACGTTCAAAGAAGTTGGTAGATACTTCACTTTAGCAGCTAATTCATCAAATAATTTTCTTATAAAGCAGCGTAATACAACCTTATGGAATTTGTAACGCGATGTTATCACTTATCGACGTTTTTATTAAAATAATCATAGTTGGATACAATATAGAATTCTTAGATTTTTTGCACAATACACACCAAAAATCGTGACAAAAATAGTTAGGAGACATTCTTCCAAGCCCATTATAAGTTTAAATAATTCAATAATGAGGTTCTAAGTGGATAAAGACTCATTGTGATTTCGTTAAAAAAAAAAAAAAAAAAAAAAAAAAAAAAAACAAGAGGATTGATTCATTTTATTTATACTCCGTAAAAAATATTGTGAGTTTGTGTTGAATACGGTGTGTGTCAAAATAACACAAAGTTTGTATTAAAATAACATAAGGTTAAAATAACATAAAGTGTATTACTTTGTTGTTGAATTTCAACACAAATCTTGAGATGACCGTATTTAACACGAAAATTGTGTGGATTTTACACAAAATTTTTTTACTGTTTAAGTTTTATTAATTTAAAATCAGGTCTTTTTTTTATTCTTCAGATAACATAATAATTGAATTAAAAAATATTATTCTCATAGTAAACAATATTTTTTACTTCATTTTACCATCTTTAAAGGTCATTGAATTCAATTAACTAACTTCCCGATAACTTGCAATTAGTGATGTGAAATGACTTAGATTAATTTTGACTTAGATCAAATCACGAGCAATTGCCGAGTATTCGTTTATCAATTGAGGCTATTTTTTCTTTTGTCAGTCAATAACATTTATAAGAATTTTTATATAATGACAATGTTTCCGCCGAAAATTAAAAAAAAATAAATTAAATAATAAAGTTAAGATAGGGCGGGGCTAGTTGATCATAGGGGCAAGTTGTGCAATCGAAATAGCTCGAAAACTAAGCAACTTACAACAAAAGTGTAAATGGTGAAAAGAAAGGGTTACGAGAGGAGAACACATCGCGCGAAAGTCAACTGCCGTCCGAGTTGACCGTTTAGACTAACTGACAAAACGTTTTCTTTTTTTTTTGCGTTAAAAAAAAAACAGGTCTTCAGAATTTTTCTCCTACACTCGCTTAAAAATGCTATTTCGTGATCACGAAAGTATTCAAAGATGACTTAATGTTTGCCCTTTCGATTATATATGATTGTTTATTTTTAATTTTTTATCATTCTTTCATAACCTAACTTTTATTTTGTTGCCTTAATTGGGGCTAGTTGAGCAAGGCGCTGACTGCGTGTTGAACCAGCCCTACTAGATTTTCAATATTGAAATATGAAATTTTTCTTCACTAAGGTAAAAGCCCCAATAGATGATCACGTACCAGTATATGATCACTCCATGTATTTGTATATCTATATTCACAAATATAGGTATACAAATACATAGAATGATCATATACTGGTACATGATCATCTATTGGGGGTTTTACCTTAAATTAATAATTATCAATTGATTTGTACATGTGATGATTTAATATAATGTGTAAAAATTAAAATAACTCATATTGATATTATATTAATTAATATATAACATAATTATAATTAATATTGTTATGTTTATAATTATTATTATAATCATAATTATATGTATGTAGAATTATAATAAATTAAATGTTTGCTTGTTAATTACAATTTTATTTTGTTTTCATATCATGTTTTCATATCATAGTGGGGCACGTTGAGCAATTTGGAGCGCTCGCGTATTTCCAGGAATAACTTGAAAATTTAGACTCGGATCGTTTTTGTGTCGCTTGACCTTTTGAAGAAAACAAAATTACAAACCTAACAGTATATGACTTGACTAAATCCGATATATCGTCTTAAAGTTATGAAAGGTCGAACCAAAAAGTGATCAACTAGCTCCGCCCTACCCTACTTACAGTTTACTTTAATTTATTGTACTAATCATAAATTTTTTAACTTTGTCCAGTTTCTATAATACTGAAAATGAAATTTCTTCAAAAATCGAATTATTTAAAATCAAATCTGACTTATACAACAAAGTAGATGCGAAATGACCATTAAAAATTTTTGTCATTTTTGGTAACACAACCGCTAATCCACAGACAATTGATCCGCGACATTCCATCCGCGGACGATTGATCCGCCCGTCAATTGATCCACCCGATAATTTATCCGCAATAAAGGGCACAACACGATAACAAGCTTATGTGTTGGCCTATTTTTAGATAAACCATACAAACACCATGATAAAAGGACACAACACGGTAACAAGCTTATGTGTTGGTCTATTGTCCGAAAATTAATTACAGATCATTTGTCGTTCGGATCAATTATCCGCGGATGAATTGTCTTTGGATGAATCGTTATGTAACCCATTTTTTGATTAATTTTGAAGTAATTTGTTTCATAAAATGACCGTTATTATCATTTTTTTAGTTTATTAATTGACGTTAAATGCTTCTCATTTTTTGCCTCGCATCACTAGTCATAATTAAATACAGAGTCATGGAAAAATTGAGCCATAAATTGTGGGGTCTTAACCTTCCATAGCACACTATAAATTAATAAAACAGTTGTAACGAAGGCGGTACTTCGTAGCGGTCACTTCGACCATGTTCGGTTGTTATCGCTCTCACATGCTGGTCACGTGGAGCAAATGTATAAAGGGCACGGGCCAGGGAGCTGACCATGCATAATTCAGGCATAATTAATGCGCATTAGTCGCAATACAGTAGCTCCTTAGTAGCATACCAGTACATCTAATTAGGAGTATCCTAATTAATAAGACGGTCTGTCTTGATCTGCGTATCCCGAAGTATCCGAGAATATGTAAGGTGTTCCGAGGATGTTTACCGATCACGGATGAATTGTGGTCTACAATTGGCCCAACGGTGTAATTGTTACACAGCCTGCCAGCATTATCTAGCTCGCGTTTATTATACAAAGTGCGTGTTAAAAGAATTACGTGATACAAGTTATTTAATAAACATGCACAGTATATTCCATATTTCTGTGCCCATCATACATATAACCCTGTTCGTAGTTACTGATGGTTAAGTAAGTATCACTGATCCAAGGAGTCTACTGGAGTATCGTCAGAGGGGATAAGATGTCTATTGATCCCAACACTAAAACTGTTAGTTGGAAGAGGAAGCTTTCTTCGAGTGATGGGTGTCGTCGTCTTCAAACCAGCGTATCAATACCTGCGAGTGCCATTAAGCTAAGTAGCAGCTAGATTTTTAAGCGCTCCCCCAACTGAGTAAACTACTTTTATCATAAATGATAGCTGCGAAGGAAGTACGAAAAGTTAACTTCGTATCACAATTGACTAATAATAGTGACAAATTTAATTAACTATGTTTTTTTTTTTCAAATATTAGGGATAGGTAGCTTAGAGCAAGTAAGCTGAAGTTGTCCAAAAATTTTAACTTCCATTTGACTAGAATAACAAATTTAGTACTATTCGAAAGGAAAGTTATCGAACTTTAACAAAAATTACGATACTGTGTCATTTTGTACAGATCATTTATTTATTATTGAAAAATAAAAGACTGGTCAAAAACCCGTTTTGTCCTTGACCCTTAGCCTAAAGCGGGTAAGCACTATAAACAAAACAAATCTTATTTCAAAATAATTTTAAGATGTTAGTGATGCATCTAATTATCATAAAAAAATAACTCCTATACTGATTAAATCGTAATCCTAAGATTCATTTGATCAGTTGCAATTTACATTATAGTTTCATTTACGGACGCATATTCGATTTTTCTCCTCTATTTTTTCATCATTAAAAAATGTATATACCAAAAAATAATCGTCAAACTGCATCACATCAAAACGGACCCATACACCTGCTTTTCCCAAGAGCACCAATTTTAGTTGAGATGCTATAAACTCAAGAACCCAAAGAATTAAGCCGGCCCTTTTAACTTGTTTTAGAATTAAATAGAAACAAAATAAAATGGTATTACTAACAAAATACGAGAAAAAATATTATTATTCTTAACGAAATTATTAATTTTAGTTAATTTTAATTCATTGTAATCAATTTTAATAAATTTTAATTAATTTACAAACATGTATGGAATTCACTCACATTCCATGCTTGTAAAGGTGGACCCTAGGATCTCCGCCGTCCATCTTACGGCATAAAATAAATATTATTATTTTTAACGAAATTATTAATTTTAGTAGAAGTTTTCGAATAATCAGAGGAAACATTCTTTCTGCCATTTACCAAATTCATTAATATTCTTATATTACACATAGTAACATCATATTGCAATTTCAGTGTCTGAATAGAACTTACTAAAACTAGGAAGTGTCCAGACAATTTTAGCATACATCTAAATTGATACTCACGATTAATTACACAATATACAAACGCATACCCGCTCTAGGCAGTTCACCCGCTTTGGGCTTCCTTCCCCTATATCAAGTTCGCTAGTTTACAGAATTTGGAATTCCCTGAGTAAATGTTTCTAGCCTCAATTAATCATCGAACTGAAGTAAATCTCAATCTAGCTTAACCGAGTTCGAAAAACAAACTGAACTTATAATAATGCTAAAAGAGCCTAAATGGGCGTCAAATAAACCGAATCAAGATTCACTGAGTCTCAACTGATACGAATCGAATCTAAATCACATTTGATCGAACTTGTGAAATTATTTGTTGACTAGCGAATAATTTATGAATGTTTATGAACAATCTCAGGATTACATATATGAACTTTACTAAACATTATTAGTATTACCATATTACCCGGGAAGACAGTCATCAACAAGCTTAGTTTTATAATATTTTATACGAATTACTAATTTTATATTTAACAATATTAAGAGAATATTAATAAACTAGCAATATGTATTTACTTATACCCTTTTATAACATTGATAGAAGGAATATTCATTTTCACATATATTTGGAGATTTCATTGACCAATAATCCAGGATAAAATGTAATTTAGATTCGATC